TCAGGTACCGCAACGAGTACACCGTCCCGGCTCCTGCAGCAGTTCCTGGCAGCGCCGTCGCTCAGCCTCGTCAGTTTGCCCACGTCTTCCTCCCTCCCAAAGGGCCTGGTTTACCGGACACCAACGTAGCTCACGAGATCCTCGCTGCTGGTTGGGCCAAGGTGCACGACTCGGTTGCTCGTCGCAGCGATGAAGCTGATGACAGCGGCAGTTGGAGGCAGAAGCTGCGCAGCGTTCAGGAACAAGCCGTAGCTGCTGGTGTCGGTCTCTGGGGTCCCGATGACTTGCTCAAGGTCCACCACTCGATGCCAGAAGACACGGCTGTATTCTTGGCCGAGTGGAAGGGCAAGCCCATCGAGTCGATCGTCGAACAGGTTCGAGATGGCAGCATGCTCCGAGTCCGTCTCTTGCTTTCTTCGACACACCAGCAGATGATCAATCTCAGCTTGGCAGGTATCAAGGCACCGCGTGTTACTGGTGGCGGAGGTGCTAGCCCCACCGATGCTAGCGAACCCTTAGGTGAAGAGGCCAAATTCTTTGTCGAAAGCCGTCTTTTGCAGCGAAATATCAAGGTCACTTTGCTCTCAGTGCCTCAGCCTGTTGCTGCACAAACACCGTTTGCTAGCACTGCTTTGTCCGCTGCTGCCCCTGCACCTGCACAGCCTTCAGCTAGCGTTCTGATCGGTCTCGCCATTCACCCTGTCGGTGACATTGCTCAGTTCTTGCTGGTTGCTGGTCTCGCTCGCTGTGTCGACTGGCATGCCGGTATTCTCGCTTCCTACGGCGGCATGGAAAAGTACCGTCAAGCTGAACGAGCTGCTAAGGAGAAGCGTCTCAACCTCTGGCAATCTTACTCGGCCCCTTATTCGTCTTCGACCACCCTCGCCAGCCAGCCTGTCGCTGCACGCACCTTCGACGCCGTCGTTTCACGCATCATCTCTGGTGACACTATCCAGGTGCGCAAGGCCCTCGGCGATGGCAAGCTCGGCCCCGAGAAGCGCATTCAGTTCTCGTCACTGCGTCAACCTCAGGCGAAGGATGCCAAGCAGGCTGGCTACGCAGCTGAAGCACGCGAGTTCCTCCGCAAGCGTCTCGTCGGCAAGACCGTCTTGGTGCAGATGGACTACATCAAGCCCAAAGAAGGCGACTTTGACGAGCGAGAGTATGCCACCGTTAAACAGGGCAAGCAGGATGCCGACATTGGTTTGCTTCTCATCTCCAAAGGTCTCGCCACTGTCCAGAGGCATCGTCGTGATGATGAAGACCGATCTCCCGACTTTGACCGTCTCATGGAAGCCGAGGCCAAAGCCGTCAGCGAAGCTAAAGGTATCCACTCCGGCAAGGAACTCCCCGCTCCCCGTATGGGTGATGCTTCAGAAACCGCTTCCAAAGCCAACACTTTCCTTCCCGGACTTAAACGTGCTGGTCGCATTGCCGCCATTGTCGACTTTGTTGCTTCTGCTTCTAGGTTCAAGCTGATCGTTCCGAGGGAGAATGTTCGACTTACGTTTGTGCTTGCTGGTATTCGTGCGCCAAAGACGGCGCGCAATACGAGCGAGAAGGACGAGCCGTTTGGGAGGGAAGGGTTGGATTTCTCGACTATGCGTGCATTGCAGCGAGATGTGGAGATCGAAGTGTTCAGCACGGACAAGGTCGGTGGGTTTATCGGTGCGTTGTATCTGAACAAGACGGATAATATGGCCGTGTCGTTGGTCGAGGGAGGATTGGCTACTGTGCATGGGTACAGTGCTGAGTCAACGCCGTTCTACAAGCAGTTGTTGGATGCTGAGGAGAAGGCGAAGGCGGGTAAGCTTGGAGTTTGGCATGATTACGATGCTGCTGCTGAGGAGGCTGGAGAGTATGCTGATTCCACGGGTGCTGTTGCTGGTGGCGCTGTTGGTGGTGGTGTTGGAGCTGCCCGTGCTCGTGGAGCTCAAGCTTGGGGTTCAGCTGCTGCCAATGGAGGCGGTGCGGCTTCCGCTACTGGCGTTGCTCCTGTTCCCGCCAGGACAGAATACGTGGACTGTATGATCTCCGACGTCCGCGGCTCATCCAATCCAGACGACCCGTTCGGATTCAGCATCCAAGTCCTCAACGACCAAATCCAAGAACTCGAATCCCTCATGGAAGAATTCTCTCTGCATCACAAATCACCCACCTCTTCCTCCCCCTCCAACTTCATCCCTCGCGCTGGTGATCTCGTCTCGGCCAAATTCTCTCAAGACAACGCCTGGTACCGAGCCATCATCCGCAAAACCTCCCCTGCGCTCAAAGAAGCCCTCGTATCCTTCATTGATTATGGTAACCAAGAACACGTGAAATTCTCCAACCTTCGTCCACTCGATTCCACACGCTTCGGTCGCACCCGTCTCGCACCGCAAGCTAAAGACGCACGTCTTTCCTTCGTTAAGCTATACGATGGGAAACAGGCAGAGTACGTAGAGGAAGCATTGGACAGGTTCAGACAGATCGCAGCAGAGGGTAGGAAGATGATTGCCAACATTGATTATGTTGAGCCAGGGACGGGGGTTGTACATGTTACTTTGTACGATCCGGAAAGTCCGAGTGTTGGAAAGAGTCCGGAGGAGGGATGTATTAATTATGAATTGACGAGGGAAGGGTATGCGTTATTGGATAAGGGTGTGAGGTATTGGAAGAGCTATCCAGTGCTGACAAAGGCGTTGGAGAGAGGGTTGGAGGAGGCGAACCATAGGCATAGGGGTATTTTTGAGTATGGTGATCCGACCGAGGACTAAACTTCGCACTCAACAGCAAAAAAGATGAAACCACTGCATTCCACAAAGCATCATTCTCAACGCAAAGCAACATTCATTCTCACGATGTTCGGTTGTAGCTTGGTTTGAGGTTGTTAGTGAGGCATTGATGGCCTGCTGATGCGGCTGAGAATGGCGAGACTGATCGGACACACAAACTCGAGGTGATTGAGGGGATCACCACCTGCGATAAGGCAAAAACTTGCCATCGAGTGTGATCTTGACCCTATCCTCTCCCTGCTTTCCCTTCACCTTCTCCACATGACCTTCAAAGTCAATCGCCGACATGATTCCATCGCCGAACTATCAGCACACATCAAGCAGATGGACTTGTTTCGTCAGTACTATGCTCTTTCGCTGAAACCTAGTACTTCCTGAGTCTCTAGTCTTCTGTGGGCGTTGTAATGCTTACCTTTTCATAAATCAAATGCTTCAACGGGTATCCATAGACCACCAGCACTTCATACAGCCTATACAGCACTGGGTCCTGTGGAGGAAAGTCACCTAATCCTCTATGAGGGACACAATCCTCCCTGAACTGTTCTTCGAGAAAGCTCTGCGGCAAGTTCAACGCAACCGACAACTTCTCCACATCATCTTGATCCGGTTTAGCCTGACCGTAGAAGATAGCGGCTACGTACCACTCGTCTCTACCGACTTGAGATGCTATGTCGGCAAAGGAGAGCTTGGATCTGTATTTAGCCTCGTGAAGAGCAGTGAAGACGGGTCGGAGAGTGGAGAGGATTGGTGGGAGAGTGGAGAGGTCTCTGGGTTTTTGAATGATGCCGCTGCTCCAACGGTTTGACATTTTTGCTACGGTGCTTGATAAAGTAAGAGCGAGTTCGTGTGAGCGCATGAGAGAGCGGGGTAGGGAAGGAGGGAATATATAGGGAAGAGGGGATGGGAAGCTTATCAGAAGGAGGAAGAACGCGGCTATGCAGGGTTCAACGCCGTTATCAGCGCGCACAGATCAGGCCAAGATTTCTATGGCTAAACGAGATCATGCTTCTTATCACCCACAAACACAGACGAGGAAAGCTTCGCATCGGCAATCGCTCAGAAGAGGCTATGATGTGTAGGATCTGATTGATGCTCGGCAGCAAACAGCTTCCCCGCTGATCAGAGTGGATTGCCGATGCGGAGGTAGACGCCGACGTCGCCGAAGTGCAAAGCCGGTTTCAGTGAAGAAGAAGCGTCACCCCAACCTGATTGCGGTCCACCGTCCTCAATCACTTATACTACAACACGTACAGAGACATCGCAGCGTCTACGTCGATCATTCACTATGCCAAGGTATTGCATTGCTTAGCCTATCGGCCAAAAGGAAGACACCACAAAAGTGGGACTAGGCAGTCTGATCCTGCATCGTAGCAGCGCCCTCAACGAGGCTCTCCCAAACCTTGTTCTTGGTGAAAACCTGTGCTACGGGAGCATCGATCTCCTTACCCCAAGCACCCGATTTAGCAAACAGACCCATCTTGATGATGGCAGTACCGGGACGAGAGGTAGCAACGGTTTGGATAGTGGAGCCACATTCACCGCAGAAACGACGGGAAGAGTGGTTGCCACTATCGGGGGTGGTGTCTTTGTACGCTTTGGGTTCGCCAGTGATTTCGACGTGTTCCTCGGGGAGGATGGCGACCAGGGAGTAGGCTGTATAGCAGACATCCGATGTAAGCGATGATGAGTAAAGGTGAAAGAGACCGAAAGGAATAGGGTAGGGTGGGGACAACTTACGAGCTCCAGCAGTTTGTTGGCAGTTGCTACATCGCTCGAAACCGAATGGTGGTGTGAGATAGTGAGTATCATGGATGGGAAGCGAATCATGATGACGACGGTGAAAGTGAGAATTACGTGCATCGACAAACCACAGGCTTCAAAGGCAAACCACCATCCTTGACAGTGATCTTGATGTTTCCGCAGAGACAGGAACCGTTGAGGGGCGGCATCTTTTGTAGGTTGGGGAGATGATGTCGCACGACACTCCCCTTTTCCTCAGAGACACTAGCTTATATACTCGCACTCAAAGAGCTCTCATTCATGCCCACAAATCCTTTCTGCCCTGGTTAAGGGCGGGCATGGTTCTCCGAACAGAAACCATGTACGGACGCATAAACAGAAGCATCCAGACGGGTATTCTCATCCATATACTGCGAGGTCATCAGGGAGAATACCGGGACAGAATAATGGTATATTAACACATGTTGGTGGAAACTAAACACAGATGTGGGAGAGGCTTAGTGGTTTGGCGTGAGATTGCAACTTATCTCCAATCATGGAAGAAAGGCGCCCTAATAAAAATCTTGAGGTCGTGGGTTCGATTCCCACCTTCCACTTCTCTTTTTTTTCCCGATTTTTTAACCTGCTTCATCTTTCGTTGAGACCGTTCACAACCCGATCGCCAAGCTTGTATCTGCCATTCTATTCTTCTTTTTGAGATCAGCACCTTTGGGTGGCAGCCAAGGGTCACAAACAGGGTGTCTGTAAGGAGTGGAAGAGGATAATTTTTACCCAGCGCTCTGAAAAAGCAGCGATGCTTGGCTGACCATGCGGGGTGAGCAAAGCGGGGGGGAGAGATTGGAAGGGAAAATGCGAAATTTCTCAGAATATTCCCATATGGAAAATCGGCTCTCTCGCCTGCTCTGAGTTTCAAGTTTGACGTTGGCAGTTTCTAGATCGGGGAAGTTGCAGTCAAGAGAAATTTCGATCGGAATGCGAGCCAAATCGCCGTTGTATTTGTGCCTTTTCTCCAACTGTCTCGATTGTTGACCCGCTTTTCCCGCAGGTTTGCAAGCCTGATAGGCACCAAAGCAGTGGGTAGCGATCCATCCAAGAGATCAGCTGTTGGTCCTCTGCTTTTGGTTTCCACCTCCGCTCCTCTTTCCTTCTCGTCATCATCACCAACACCTTCCGTCTACACCACACGCGCTTGTTCGACGCCATCCAGTTCGTCGTCGCCACCACCACACCGCCTTCGTTCGAATCGAAAAAGAGATTCTTGTGCTGTGATTTACACCTGGGGATCATAGAGGCCCAAGCATCCATTCCATCTTCATTCCCGCATCGACCCCTTCGCACGGTCTGTTTGGTGCCGTCAACCGCAACTCTCTTCGCTCCTTCTCTTGCACATCGACACTTCATCTCGCCACCATCAGAACCTCTTTCCTCACATCATTACCATCACCACATTCATTCGTTGCTTCAATATGCGATTCATCACCCCTTCCATCCTTGCCATTCTATTGGCCCTCGCTGTCACTCTTTCCACCGCACAACTCGTCGATTCGGTCTCTCAACCCTTCCAACGTTCTCTCGACTCCTTCTCCTCACCCGACCTCCTCAACCAGCGTTCTCTTCTGGAGGCCCGTCAATCACCCGACCTCCTCAATCAGCGTTCTCTTCTAGAGGCCCGTCAATCACCCTCCAACTCTACCTCCACCTCCCCTTCCCCATCCTCCTCCTCCTCCTCCTCCGCCCCCGACTCCACCGCTTCCGGCTCCGCCCCACCTGGCGGAGAGGCAACCATCACCGAATCCACCTGCAGCATGACAACCCGTCTCTCTGTCAACCAACAAGCATCCTGGGGTAACGGCTTCGTCAACACCTGCTGCGGTTTCGCTACCGGAACACAATGTTGGTATAGAAACCAAAACATGGTCGAAGGTCAGGACGAGTGCGAAATTCCAGATTGCGCAGATTTGCAAAGTGAGGATAAGGCGAGGATGATTGGGTTCATTCCGTTGAGTTCCACCAATGGAAGCGGCAAGCACGCAAACATCTTTTTGAGTTTAGGAATGTTGAGTGCCGGAATGATGACTGTGCCTGGAATGGGGATGATGCTGGCGGTGGCGGTGGCGGTGACTATTTTGAGTTTTTCTTGAAGCTGAGGTGTCGGAGTGATTGGTCGTACCACCGTTGTCTAGTGTATACACGCTCTTTTGGATTCTCCCCTTGCCAGTTGTGGCTTTTGTCTTTGTTTTCTTTCCTTGTTGTACTCTCATTGCTCCATTTTTTCACTGGAATACGGAACTCTTTCACGGATTCTGACTTGGTGTGCGTGATGAGAAGACATGCATGTGATAAAGATGCAAGGCAGAAAGAAGCTAGAAGTATAGAATACCAAGAGAACGGTAAGGTATGGTTGCGACGAGCTAGAAGGAATCAGCATCACTCTGCCCACCCGCACTTTCAACGTCGACGAACTCTCCATCGCTCCCCCTCTCTCTCTGTAGCCCATTCCCACCTGCTCCACCACCGCTCGTTTTCTTCTTCGTCATCGCTCCCGCAACGGAGCTGTGCGAAACCCTCGTCACCTGCACATCATCATCATCATCCTCATCCTCTTCATCGTCATCTTCACCCTCTTCATCCTCCGAACCCGCCTGCACTTTACCCCCGCTTCTTCGCTGAGAGTTCAAGTTGGTATATGAATCCTCGTCCGAATCATTAATAATCGTAAACGTTTTTTGCTTCCCCGTACTCGCACGAGGCATAGTACGCAACGGAATCTTGATCTTGGTCCCTGAACCAACTGCAGGACGTGAAGCAAGTGCAACATCCTCATCCTCGTCCTCATCATCATCGGATATCTCACCTTCCTCACCTCCCTCCCCATCCGATCCTCCACTACCAACACCACTTTCCCCTCCCTCTTCTTCATCTTCTTCATCTCTCTTCCGTTTACTCCCTCCATCACCTAGTTTCGAATTGCTGTTGGCTTTCTTATTTGCCACCGCTGTGGTATTGTTCGGATTCAAAGGCGACCCGCTAATAACAGTCGAATTGCTCAACCCAGAAGGAGCAAAAGTATGACTTGAAAAGCTCCTACCCGTCTCCCCAGGCGGAGGGGTTGGGCTGGAAGTTTTGATCCTCTTATTCATCCTGGACGCCACAATCGGACTGTTTGATCTCTTGCCACCATTCTTACCCTTCTTTTTAGAAGCAAATGCATCTTCGTCCATATCACTACTATATTTCGGCGTTCCTCTGCCACCGCCATTCCCATTCCCATTCCCATTGGCTACCAACCCTCCAACACCACCGGTTGTTGTGGCTTTAGCATTCCTCGCCGCCCCCTTCCTCCCACCCTTACTTCCCATCCCCATACACTTGGCTAGGTGTGTCGCATATCGATTCGAACTAACTTGTCGAGAACAAACTAAACATTCAAATAGAGGATTGTTTGAGTAATAATCCGGCTTGTTCACTGCTCCTCCGCCAGGGACAGGGGTGGAGGAACGGGAAGTGGAAGTGGTGGAGTCAGAAGAGTTGTTCGTGTGGGGATGGGTGGAAAGCGAGAGGTTGGTGCATTGCTCAGCAGCGGGGGTATGTGTTTGACAACGAATGCCGCAAAGTTTGCAGATCGAACGAGCCCGTTTGATGGTGGAATGGGTTGAAAGGGCAACATCGAGAACGATTTGAGTGAGAAACGAATCGAGGAATTTGGTCGCTATTAGGGCTTTTGGGTCTGACATTGTCGACGATAGCTCAGCCAGCCAGAAGGGGTCCTGGCTACGTGCTAGGGTGGGTTGGTGTAGATGATGCTCGTGCAATGTCAACAAGGTTGCACCCATGATATTGTTGGCGCTTCGAGTTCGGCAATCAGAATTCGCCAATGCTCGCAATGTGGGGTCGCGCAGGTTCAACAGCCGATTTTTATTATTATTATTTCATGAGTGTGCAAATGTATGACCTAACACCGTGAGATCTAAAAAAGGTCCATTAGCTCCAGAAAGCATGTGCGGAATAGAACAACTGGCGACGGCTCCGAAATGAAATGCGCAAAAGGCAAGTGGGGTTCAGTGCAGGGTCGAGCAAAAATGGCGTGCCCGTGGTGATGCCAGAAAAATCTAGAGTAGTAAAATTAGCATGACGGGCACATTCTCCCACATCATTCATTCATTCGGACGGATGTGCCCAACTTGAACCGCAAGTGAGTGAATTATCGTTGCTGCGCCACCATCATCATCCTCTTCTTCTTGCCTGGCAGCTTCGGTTTCGATCCTCCTTCTCTTGCTTCTTCCGTTACGAAGGGGGAAGCGGCGTCGACACCTAGCAAAACTTACGGGAACATGGTCTCGACATTGGCTTAAGGCGCCTCCCCTCCCTTTCATTCGCAACCCGAGCTGGCCCATACAATTCAATACTATACACTCTTTAGGCCCAGTCACTGCTACGTCCTCCTCCACACTCACCCTTCGTTGCAGGCGCATGACGCTCTCTCTCTCTCTCGCGCGCGCGCCACCATGTCTCCGCCAGCAAGTGTCACCATCACCCAGCTCGAACCAGTCGTCTTTCTTCGAGGTCAGTCCTCTTCAGGCGAAGATGCTCGTGGTCGACGTCGTCCCGTCAACATCGATGCTCCACCATCCCAGCTTCGTGCTCTCGTCACCGTCTACCTTCCTAAACCGTCCAAGATTAAAGAGATCAACATCTCACTCAAAGGCACCGCCAAGACAGACTGGCCCGAAGGCATCGGTCCCAACCGTGTAGAAAATGCCGAAGAGATGACCATATTTGATCAAGCCATTGGTATCTACAATGCAAAGTATGACAAGGCTGTCGCCGCTGTCACCCGTCGTAGAAGCAACTCTGTCGGTCCAGGTATCGGTCTTCGCCAAGATGTAGATTGGGACTATGCTGCAGCCAACGCAAATGCGACTGCAAATGCAAACTCGGATGCTCGACCTTCTTCCAGCAACGCAGGCTCAAGACAGGCTAGTGGCAGCAATTCAGGCCGTAAGGATGATGACCGACCCAAGAGCTCTGGCAAAGATAGTGGTAGCGGTGGAGGCAACCTGGCTCGTCAGATCGCCGGTGCTGCTGCCAAGGCCGGCACCGCTATGATTCCACCGACATTGCGTCCGGATATGGGTCTCAGCAAACCCAAAGATAATACTACTACTACTTCTTCTTCTTCTTCTTCTTCTTCTTCTTCCTCCTCGTCGCGCAACCGCCCTCCCCTCCAACAAACTGGATCAGGCACCACCTCGTTCTCGCAATACGCAACCAGTCCTGACTCGACATCGGCAACGTCACCTCCGGCTACATTCAACAACCCTCGGTCTAGAGCTGCTTCCTCGGCTGGTTCCACTTCGCTTGGTACAACTCCCGCCACATCTCTCTTTGATGAGCGCTGGCCTCCGGCTCCAACTCATCAGGACATGTCTACCTGGCACGAGTACTTTGAGTCGCGCGGCTACGAACGTCCGCCGCTCTATGCACCTCGTTCGGCACCTTGTGAAGGTTACGACAGCTGGCCCACCGAAGTTCCTGCAGAGGCTTCATCAGCTCGAACCGATGCTACATCTTCTGGTGACCAGCCTGCTAGCTCGTC